GTAAACCGACCATGAAAACCAACCAGGAATAGAAACGGAGTAGAAACGCTGACAAACAGCCCTCACGCGACTGAGGAATCGCTGACCGCGTTGAGGGCGTGGGCCAGAAAGGAAAAGGCGCCAGGAACGCCAAGGACGGCCCGTGGCTGGATGCCCAGATGCTGCGGGGCTGAAGGCCGAGGAACTGTCGTGAACGCTGCAACCTAGTCAGTCCATGTGGGATGTGGGTTTGGAGCAAGAAACCGGGCCATCGAAAGCTTCACGTTACACGGTGATGTTGCGACCCAGAAAATACACCCAGGCTGGGCAGCGGGGGGGAGGGTGCGGTGAGAATTGGGGCGGGGGGAGGTCAGGGAAGGCCCCTTGGAGGAGGCGGCCTCTGAGCAAAGACCCAATAAGAAATGCAGTCAGCACGGAGGCATCTGGAGGAACACTTACCCCAGGGAGAGAGGTCACATGCAAAGGCCCTGAGGCAGAACGGGGCTGGCAGGAGCTGGGAGGAGGCAGGACGAGGAGCTGGGAGGAAATGGGAGGCCCCAGGCTGGGGAGGCGGGCCGGGTGCTGGGGCAGTGGGGAAGCACAGGAGGCCCAAGTCAGGGCAGATGCACCTGGCGTGGTGTTTATTAGCGTGGGACTTACTGTGTCTCCCTCACTAGAATATAATGTGAAATCTCATTGGCCACTAATCCAAAAATTAAAAAAAAAAAATCACTGGGGGCCAAAACATGCCCTTCCCACACCACCCAGCGACTGCACTTCTGGGCGTCTATCCCGGAGACACAAAGGTGTTTGTGCACACAAAGACCTGTGCGTGATTCCTTGCAGCCGTTCTGCTGGTAATGGCCAAAGCCTGCCAACGACCCCAACGTCCCTCCGCTGGCCGATGAGTAAACGCACCCGGCAACAGACAGGCGCCAAGCGTTGGCGCATGAAACTGCTTGGATGGGTCTCAGGGTGCTGTGCTGAGTGATCTCAAAGGTCACACGCTGAGTGACTCCATCCAGCCAACACTCTGAGAACGACAAAATCACAGAGATGGAGAGGTCAGGCAGCCGGGGGCTGGGGGGTGGCGGGGAGAGGGTGGGCGTGTGATGAGGGGCGGCGTGACGCGGGTGTCAGCGGCGATGGGATGGTCCTGTGTCTTGATCATGGTGGTTTCGGGAACATGCGTTCGAGGAAACGTCATAAACTCTTGAGATACGTTGCTCCAGGGTCAGCTTCCTGGTCTGGCTGTTGTGCTATAGCTTTGTAAGCTGTGACCACTGGGGGCCGCGAGGTGAAGGGTACAAGGGGACGCTCTGTGCAGTCCGGGGGACATGGTCCGAGACCCCTAGTGGATGCCTAAAACCACAGATCACACCGAACCTGTGTGTGCTGCGTTTCCCACACACACGCCTACGATCAAGTATAGTTTCTAAGCGAGCACAGTAAGAGGTTAACAATAACTGATTAAATAGAACAATTACAACCACATACTGTAATAAAAGTTATGTAACTGTGGTCTTTCTCTCTCTCTCTCAAAGTATCTCATTGTCCTAGACACGCTCTTCTCGGAGAGGTGACACGATGCCCACGTGCTGAGGGGCGTTCGCAGTCTGAGGGGTGACGGCAAAACCAGAGCAGATTATTTTCCTTCTTCACGATTTCGCGGATGGAGGTTTGTTCTGACTGTGGATATGAGCAACCTTAGCATACGATTTCTTTTTTCGTCTTAAGTCGAAGATTTTCACCTTTTCACTCAAAGGGAGCACCCCATGGCTTCTCCTTGGCACGTCTGAGTTGCCAGCGGCGCTGACTCCTGCACGTTGGGGTCATTCTTGGAGAAGAATGAGGGTGTCTTGAACACAGGCACCTCGAAGCCCCCACGGTCCCCCTGATAACCACGACGGCTGCTGGTTATTGGTGGCGTGACAACATGTATGGGACAGCAGGGTGATTCACTCTCCGGGGGGACATCGCGATGCTTCGTCATGCTACTCAGAACAGCACACAACGTAAACTCATGGATCGTTTGTTTCTGGAATTTTCCATGTAATATTTTTTTAGACCACCGTCGACTAGGTAATTGAAACCATGGGAAGCAAAACTGTGACAAGAGGGGATTATTGTGTGACTTCTTGTGACTCTGATCGTTTCAAAATAAAATGGCTGTGGGCCAAGCAAATGTGATGGGGGCGGAGCGGTTTGGCCCCTGAGCCAACAGTGTGTAGCTTACGGCTTCCAGAAACAAAACGTTCCCGTTCTTGGTCCTTTGCCGATATTCCTCCCATTTCCCTGGTCCAGAGGCCAGGTGACTAGGTCGGAGGGAAGGTGGACGTGTCATCCCAGGCATCAGAAACGGCAGATGGAAAGATTTTGCGTGTTTGTGCGTGTGCGTGCTATATTGATTTCGTTGCTTTGTAATAAATCACCACAAAATTAATGGCTTAGAACAACATCCATTTATTATCTCACAGGTGCCAGGAGTGGGTCAGGAGTTCGTGCACAGGTAGGGGCTTCTCTGCTCAGGTGTCCGCTGGGGCCGGAGTCCCCTCTGACTGGGGCCTCATCCAGGCCACTGGTTCTGGTGGGTTCTGTCTCCTCAATGTCGCATGACTGGGCTGCTTGCTTTTTTCCTAGGTGTTCGCTGGGGGCCACTCTCAGTCTTGGAGGCTGCCTCCTGTCCTTGCCACGTGACCCATGATCCCACAGCACAGCAGCTGGCTTCTTCGGCGTCACCAGGAGGGTCTCTCGGCTGTGATGGCGCCGCATCTGACACAACGTAATCACAGGAGTTGATTCCATCAGTCCCGGCTCCCGCCCACACTCAGGGGAGAGACTGTACGAGCTGTGCGCCACCGGACCCGCCCACACTCAGGGGAGAGACTGTACGAGCTGTCACCGGGGGTCACCTCGGAATGTCACCTACCACCCTCACCCAGGTGTGCGTCAGCTGTCCTCCACGGTTCTTTGCCAGCGACACCGCGAAGTCCCCCATCCCCTCCTGCTGGAGCGGCTTCCCCGCTTGGAAGCTGGGTCTGCCTGACATGAACATGTCAGTCCCACGTTCATGTCCTGCTCCGTGTGACTGTGTCTCACCGGTCGACACGGTGGCGGCGATGGGCTGCCCCTCCCGTGACTCACGTTGTGTTAAGGCCGTGAGCAGACTCACTGCAGGGTCTTCATCAAAACTGCCATGACTTCCAGCTGCAAGGAAGAGAGCTCTGCCAGCCACCCGAGCGACCGACCTCGGTGACTGCCTCGGGCGTAGACTACTGCGGTGATGCGCTTACAATCCGCCTGTCAGCTGCTGTTTTTAACCCACAGCGTGGCGACATCGGAATTTGAGCCTGTGCTATAAAAGCAGAAAATGAGTTTTGTTGCGCCCTGGCTCCTAAAACTATATCTCACGTGTTTTTGCACGAAAATACTGCATGAAATTGACTGGTTTGAGAAAACAATTTTTCTAGGCAAAACCGTGGTCCACAAGGCTCTGTCTTAAGCTAGGCAAAGACTCAGGGACGCTATTTACCGGGAGTGGCAGAGTTTGTTCTAACTTGCATCTTTGGGCAGCTTGCTATGAAGACCTGCTAGTGAAGTGCAGAGAATGACAAAAAAAATATGATTTACAAAATTATATTTTTGCCTCCGATCAGACAAATACGAAATGTTTGTGAGGATTACAGCCGAATGCTTTTCCTGATTGTGAATATAAAAAATGAGATGAGTGTAAACAGGGTTGGGCACATTTTTCCTGTAAAAGGCCAGTTAGTAAATATTTTCAGCTTTGTGGGCCACACGGTTTCTGTGCCATAATTCAAGTGTACCATGGGCACCAAAGAGCCACAGACAATATATAAATGATGAGAGAGGCTGTCAATAAATACTTATGAACATCCAAATTTGAATTTCATGTGATTTTCACGTCATGAAATCTTATCCATCGTGCATGTTTCAACCATTTAAAAATATAAAAACTATTATTAGCTCACACGCCGTTTGAAAACAGGCAGCGGGATGGATTTGGTCTACAGTTTGGTGACCACTGGCCTTTGAGGTGGTTTCCATTCTAACCTCAAATCTGCCCCAATATTGATTTCACAGATTAAAGCCAAAATATTTTTTTGCTTATTTGAATTTCTTCAGAGGGTGCTGTGAAAATTACTCACGCAGTCCCGTTTGCTTGAAAACACTCAGAAAGAACACAGAAGGCAAAAAGGGGCTCTCTCGGCCCCTTCCACTTTCCCATCCTGCAGGCGGCAGACAGAAAGCTCAGTGTTCAGGGGCCACTTTTCAAACACAGAGCGTCAGTGACAAGAGCTCAGGGGCTGGACGGCTGACATCCGAGGTCTCACTCTTCCACACACAGGGGGCGGATGCCGAAGACTGCTCAAACGATGGGAATTCACTTATTTATAGCTGAGGAGGAAGGGGATGGAGATTCAGGCGGGCACACATTAATCTGGACCAAGTGGACGTAAGGGGATTTTCACCGTGTGCCACAGCTAACTTCTCTCTCCGGGCGTGCACCAGCATGTCTCTGAAACGACCGGGCTGGCCTAGATTAGGGGTCTAATTTAACAGCCTTGAGTAAATATAATTTCACTAGCTATATTAGCATGCCAAAATATCTACATTTTTAATAAGTATGATAAAGAACATTCACGTCAACTAACTGGGGAGTCCCTGTCAGCTCATCTGTATCCCAATTACATTGGAAATATGAATCGATTCTCCATTTTTCTGAATCCAGTTGGGCACGTGTAACTGCTAGTTTGATAGAAGAAAAAGTCAGTACATGGAATGCATGAAATGGAGGAAGATGACTTTTCCGGTGGTAAGAAAATGAAATAATTCCAGAATTCACACCCCCCACATCCTTCCTAATCAATCATTTTATCATTTAAAACTATAAAGTTGTCTTTTATGATGTCATAAAGTAAAAATCAGTTCCATCTTTTGCACAAATAGCTACTATCAAGATAGCGATTATGAAAATGGTATCGACATCTCATCCCAAATTTCCTAAACCTCGTCCCTGCAGGGGCCACGGCATCGTGGCCAAGAATGTCACCCATGCAACCGTGTCACGGTCATTGTCCTTCTCACCACCCACAGCTCCGGAGGCAAAAACAACGGTCACAGCTATGGCTACTAGTCTCGCATTTATTTTTTCGAAAGAGGAAAAAAAAGATCTCAAATTCCAGATTTTTCTTCACAATAATTTTATTACTCTGCATATAGTTCATCGACGCCCAACTTCTTCTCTCCTTCTTCGACACACGAATCCATTCAGTCATAGTTTTCTTCGCCCCATATTTCGTAGATTGTGACATTATTGTGTGGGTCCGCAGGGATCTCAAAGTTCGGAAACCTGAGGCTGCTACTGCCAGTTGCCATGGTGACTTTCAGATTCCGCACCTTGGACACAAATTTCACAAGGTCCACCTCGAGCTGGGTTAAGGTGTTGAGTGCGTAGTCTCTGTGGGGGGGAGCATTCTGATTTTTCTTCGTTATCGGGCGAAGCGAACAGCCTCGAAGGCCAGGAGGCCCCCTCTCCTGTCAAGAAAGATACACAGGGTGAACGGCCCCGTCCACTTCGCGGGGTCTGACGCGGTTCTGAGAGCTGGGCTCACCTAAGAGAAGACGGTTCTAGTACTGCTCTAGTCTAGGGGTTGGCAAAGTAAGGCCAAACCTGGCCCACCATCTGTCTTTGTAAATAAAGTTTTATTGGAACTCAGCCATGCTCGATTTATTCATGTACTGTCCATGGCCGCTTTCATGCTGAAATGGTGGAGTTGAATTGTTGCAACGGAGACCGAAAACGTCTACCCTCTACGGAAGAGGCTCGGTGACCCGATCTAGTAGTCAGTTCGGCCACAGCATCGTGAGCTGTGGGGTCCGCTAGGAGAGAACATGCTGCCCCCCATCTCCCCCTCACCCCTCTCTGGATGACGTTTGGCCACTTTGGGGACGAGCCGTTACCCCTCTACCCCTTCACGACAGGTCTTTTCCTTTACTTGGGATAATGATATGATCGCCATTCAGTTCAGCAACTTGGAATAAGTCAAACGCCAGGGAGACTAAAAATCTGGGGCAGGAAATCTGGCTCCGTGAATCATTTTGACCTGAAACACGCCACGTTCTTGAATCTATCCTCGAGTTGAAAAAACTCATTCAAATAACAGGATAGATGTAGGAAGCCATGGTTTTATTCACCCAGGAAGCAGAAGGTGGTCTTGAACTGCTAGGCCCCACTTCTGTGGGTTCGGGGACCCACAGAAGTCATCTTCCCTAAGGATGCGTCAGGAAAGGGATTTGGCAATGCCTCCCAGGACCGTGAAGTAGCTACTTCGCACCCCGATTCTTTACACTTACACCTGCCTACACCAACTGCAGTGTCTGTTTCTCCAAGTCTGAACTCTCTAAAACGGGACCAAATGTGGTGTAAAAAAATGGAGCCACCCTTACCTTCCGCTTCTCGCTATCGCCTCGAAACTTCAGTATCGCATACAGCAGGACGACAAAAACGAGCCAGAGCCACTTGCTTCCAAGCCAGCCGTGGGCGTGCTCTGGCAGACTGTGCCTAATCCGAAAGTGCCCTCCGCAAGGCACCTTCCCCTGGGGTTCTTTGACCGGGTCTCTCAGAGAAGAAAACATAAAGGCATAGCCGCAGGAGAGACACAGGGGCAAAAACAAGAACCATTTCAGCATCCGCATGGTGAGCAGAGACGGGGGAGGAAGTTGCTCATGGTGGGTGTGTTTGCGTTGCACCCGGACACTGGGTAGTTAGGGCTGGGCCTTTGGTGATGTCACAGAGGCCCCAGGCCAGCACGCTCTGGCCATTGTGATGACGTCAGGGTAGAGGAGGAAGCAGCCCACAGTGGTCGTCCAGGAGTGGGACTCACAGGGAGAGGGAGCAATTCCAGCAGGCAGTGAGTCGAGGATGGTATGACGGAGCGTCGTCTCTTGGCTTGTCCCTCTGACTCTGCTCCCTTGGCCCAAGCATTCACTGGTTTTTTGTTGACCCAGACCTGCTGAGCAGAGCAGATGTGGCACATGTCCCCGTGGAATTGAGGGCCGAGTGGGAAGATATGAAGCCAGAGGCTACAAATTAGGAGCCACCGATGTGTTTTGTTTGGCTTATTTTGTTTCTAAAAATAATTATTTGCAATATTCAAATGTTGGGGGAACTTCATTTTAAACACCTAGATTTCTGGCTCCTTTCGAGAATATGGAAGCTCTTCTAATACCGGGCCACTCTGCTTGGAACCAAACAGGAACCCACCCTAGGTGGCCATATTCTCCCGTCGCCACCACTCCTTGCCGCCTCACGCTTGCACTCACTGACCTCACCCGTGTGATCCCTGGGCTGATGCGGCGCGTTTATTAAACCTGAGATGAGAGCAGAGCTGTCAGAGCGTAGAACAGGGCAGTGTTCTGGGGTAGGCTGCGCAGAAAGGCCTCCTGAAAAAGGCATTTGGGTACAGTCTGAGCGATGACCAGGAGCTGGCTGAGCAAACTGGGGAGGGAGGTACACCCAGGCAAGTGTGAAGACCCCGTGGTGAGGACACAGCCTGTATGACAACTGGGGACGATGCCAGGACTATAACTAGGGCTCCCTGGCCAGTGTATTTGAAACCATCAGCTTCTACAAATGACACAGAACGAGAAAGCCAGTAACGGAACACAAGGCTTGTACTTGTCCCCCTGGGCCACCCGACTCAGACTTACTCCCCAGGAATAAAATGCTCCGCTGAGTCTAACCAAGGGTTCCCTAGGCGCCTTCACTGCGGGCTGGAGGGTCCCCGGGACCTTTAGGGGCTCATCCTTAAAATCACGACCCTCTCCATTCTCTTCTCACATGGCTACTGGGGGAAGTCACTCCTGGCGCTCGGAGCGATGACTGCAGAGTGTTTCGAGGCGGCTCCAGGTCTGCTAGTGCCCTGCATTTTAAGTACCCCAAATGGTGCTCTAAAGTTTAGTGGTTATGGTGTGAGCAGTAAGGAACCGACTCGATTGAAATAGATGACCTCAAACAGAGAAGCTCAGGAAGTTTTGTCATTCAGAAATGTTTACGTCTACTTAATGACAGGAGTCACACTTTTTTGGTTTACATTGTATTCAAAAGTCTAAAACAGTTTTGGTTGGACCAGTGAAAAGCAGGAAGAGGGTGGGGGCATGGAGCAAGATTTTGAACGTGACCTTGAGGGGGAACAGGGTGGGTTGAGATGTTTAAGTTTTGATGTGGAGGATGCTGTGACTGGGTCATAGGAAAAACTGGCCAGTTAAAATAATGCAAAATAAAACCGATTACGGCTTAAAATTAAGAAAACTGAAGTTGGTAGAAACAATGACCATTAAAATAATAAATGCCTCATGATGGCCGAAGCAGCAATTTGTAACGTTTCACTAAAATGATTAATAAATAAACATTTCTTGGTAAAATTAAAATAGAAAACGTTGTGATAAATTTTAACCAAATAAAAATGGTTCCGATTATAAAAATACTGTAACAAAATGAAAACGAGGAAAAAAGCAACAGTGAGAAAACGGTTTACCTGGGCTATATAGAAAATTAATCAGGGAAAAGAAAATGGCCAATTCAGGTTTGTTCTAGAAAAGTCCACAACCAAAAAAATGCATTGATGTTAATGTGATTCTGATTTATATGCTTCTACGTTCATAATGTCAAAACATCCTTGGGGCCGAACTTCCCGTCACGTTCAGGCAGAGAACGTGGGACACAGCAGGCTGGGTTCGAGCCTGTGCCCCCACCCTGACCCCAAGCCTCTGACGCGACCCCCAGCTCCGTTTCCTGCGTTCGAGTGGAAACCGGCGCCCTGGGCGAGGACAGAGCCGCCGTCA